CCTGTCTATGTCTCTGAAAGGGGGGTCGTTAGAGGGGATAGTTGGTCTGGCTGCGATGATAGCGGGAAGGAATCAACTCTATCGCTGCATTGAAGGTTTCTGAAAGCTGAAACTTTTAAGGTTGTTTTTTTTCTTTTTTACCATAGATGGCTTCCTTCACGCTCCTCTCAAACCTCCTGTCTTCTTTGTCCTAAATGTGAACGTTCTGGTCCTCTAAAGAACGTCCTTTGTCCGTTTCAATTAGCATGTTTTCTAAACTAAAACCAGGCTTTGTTGGGCTGCTGGATAAAACCTGGAACTAAACGCTTTTCTGACATTTTGGATTGAAAAATCTTCCTGGATGGAAGAGAAACGTCTTTAAATTTGGAAACAAAGTCCAGTGGATTGATTCTCATCTTTTTTGGAATGACTCTGACCTTGATGTGTGAGAATCTTTACCAGCTTTACAGGAACCTAATGTTTAATTAGTGGAGTTCCACAGGGATCCATGTAAGGACCAATAATTTAACATTATTTATCAGTGATTTCTTTAATTCACCAGAATGATCCTTTTCCAACAACCTTACACCAAACTGTCGATCCCTTTGGTTACCTACCTTCTCTCCGTTGTTTGTCTTTGCTTGAGCTACGGAAAGAAAACAGAGTCAGTTTTAGAGCATGGCTCTAGTTTTAGCTTCAGATCCATTCAGCTAAACATCAGTTACATGTTTGTGTCTCTGAGTGTCATAAACGAAAAAGCAAAACATGAAGTAAGCTGTGCCGGGTCTGCAGCATGCAGCGTGACTTAAAAACATCAGAAAGTGTCTGCATGGGGCTGCAGGCTGGGTGGGCAGAGATGGAAACAGAAAGCTAACGTTGGGGTGGGGTGGGGGGGACAACAAGCTGCTCAGTTTAAAGGTAGAAATAATCTGGAGGAAAAGTGCTGCACCACAGAGAGGCCAAGCTGCGTTGGTAACTGAAAGATGTGGAAGGCGTTAACTGAAGCAGGGCTGGTTCTGAACATGAGCAAACAGACCTTTGGAAACTGCGACCGGCACCAGAGACCTCCTGGCTGCAGGGCTCTGGGAGGGGCTCTGGGAGGGGCTCTGAGCAACACTGCTCTTCTGTAAGGCACTGGAAATGTCAGGCTTTGAACCGCCGGCCCCGTGTGACGGTGACTCAGTCTCTGAGTCACACGGCGGTTTGGCGACAAGACGAAGCCCCTCAGAGAAGCTCCCGGTTACTGGAGCTGGAGGCGGATCTTTCATCCGCCTTTGTTTCTGAAGACTTTCTTCAGTTTCTGAAGAAACGCTTTTGTTTCCACAGTCAGGCTGTAATTCAGCTCCCTCCACAGTCTGAACATCTTTTATTTGCTCCAAGATGGCCCCCTCCTCCTGGTTAAGCCGTAAGCTTTGGTCTTCAATGACTGTCAGATCTTCCAAAGCTGCGCTGCGGACTAAAGACATCCCAGGTGGATTTCTCATTTCCGCCAGGCGTTCAGATGCATCAAGGCTGATTGCCCTCTGAGAGTCAGCAGCTCCAGTCCACTCAGGGCTCCCCCTGCTGGCCTCTACCTCCTGCCTCATCTCTGACCTGCAGCTCAGATCTTCGGAGACCCATGAAGAGTCACTTAACCTCTTCCCACAGTCTCCCTCCGCCTTCTTTCCTGGCTCTGTAGACGAGGCGGCCTCCGCAAAGTCAATGACCTTCTCAGCGTCTCCGGGTTCAGCGGGAGGAAACCCACCATTAGCTGGCCTCACTAGTTTGGCTTGAAAAGCAGATTACAGAACATTGACAGCACTTGTTTTCCACCTCCCCATTAATAAAAAAATGCAATGAGGGGAAAACATGAACTTTATGAAGGAAATCAAAAAAAAGAGATGGATTTGGGCAGAAAAACACACTTGAGTGAGAAACACAGATGCTACATTCAGGAGGGAATAACTGAGATAACCTGTCAATCATTTGCATATTAAAGAAGTAATGCTGCAGTGACTGAGGACTCCAGTTATAAGGAGCTAAGCTGCGTTCAGACTCAGCGGGTTTTCAGAGTCAGGCGTCTGCTTTACATGTGGTCTGCGGAGCCAGAGGTATAACGGAGGGGTATGGGAGAATTATAATTGGAAATAACTATCAAACATTTTAACTTTCTGTAAAAAAAATGTATTTTTTCCCCTACATTTTGAAATTAATACTTGTTTCTACGTCTCCAAAATGATACTTCATTATACTAACCTTCATTTTGTACATAACAAACCACTAATTGTTTAAATTACTTAATTCAGAATTGTTTGGGTTATCCATAAATACTGAACTTTGCTGAATCGAGCCACAAAACTGCTGTAAATAGCAGTTTCAGCTGACGCTCTTATAAGTGGCTTAGGAGCACAGGCACACTCAGTAGGGTTAAACAAGCGCACCCTTTCCGAGGCTGCCGTTCTATTGGCTGGAAAGGTTGCTAGGCTACGATCCATCTGCAGTCCGAGAGCAAAAAAAAAATCCGCAAGCAGAGCCTACGGGTTTGCGAGCGTATCTGAGACTCGAGCAGAGCGCGGTTTGTGCGCGAAGAGAAGGAGGCAAGCGAGAGGAGAAAATATCTGTGCAAGAAGCATTAAATCTGAGAGAAGAAACAAAGATTTGAGAGAGAAGAGAAAATATTTGAGAGAGAGCGCATGTTTTGAGTGTGAGCATTATAAGTTTTGAGTGCAAGAAGATGAAATTCTTTTCTCAAATTGAAATGATGTGCTCTGGCATTATGGCAGGATAATTCTCCCATAGAGGGGGCAATTGCCACCCCTGAAGAAACCCTTGTCCCCCCTGTTGCCACCCTGCTGAAAACATTAACACTGTTTGAATTGTACGAAAATTTGCAAAAAAAACAATCAGATTTCCAAGCGGACTTGAATGCCTCCTCACACAGCATGTTTCTGCTGCACCTTTCATTGGTTAAAGTTGTAGGGAAGCGGCGTTTTCAACCGTTGCATTTGGGAATTCTCCCACTATAAAGTGAATGTGATTGGTCGATTATCAAGGGGGGCGGGATTGTTGTGGAGCGAGGTCCAGTAGGGCGTTTGAAGCACTAGGCGCATTTTGGGTGACATGTGGAGCGTGTTTGGAAATGTACGCGGAAAACGCTAGAATTGAAAATGTGACTCCTGCAGCTCGATGAGACGTGTCAGCTATTGATCTGGGACCTGGAAACGGTTAGTGCGTTCAAGGTGAGACATTTAATCACTTTCCAGGAACGGGAAATCCCAGAGCATCAACTGTAAACGGGATTCCCACTGTTACCGAGCAACTACTACAGAATATTTAAAAAAAATTTTTACAGGTGCATTTTCTTGCTTAAAACATCTTAAAACGGAAGCCACTCTCAGTTGCATAGAAATTGTTATCAAGTTAGCGGTCAAGGAAAGAAGAGGGAAGCTCTTTCCAACCTGCATCAGACACACTTTGTTCGACGCGCATCAAGCAGGTCGATGACGCTCTTGACATATGACTGACTTCAAAGTGCAAAAATATCCAAGTTGAGGCGTGAGACGCCTTTTAAACACGTTTGGTCTGAACGCAGCTCAAGCTGTTCCTGTTTAGTTGTTTCTACGTTAGCCTTTGAGTTTCTTGGTGTCATATTTTGTTTGCAGTTATCTCTTTTATGCTTTTATGTTTTTGCAGCTCATTTGGATTTCTTGGTTTATCGTATTATAAGTTATTATAAGTTGCAGTAAATATGTTTGACTTTTTTTCTGATGTTTCCTGAAGTTTGTCAGGCTTTTTATTGTAAAGACAAACATGCTAACCTTGCAGCTAGTCAGATGTTTATGTGAAGATTTAACCTTCAAAGGTTTTAAATTACATTTAAAACCTACACTGCAAACATTTTTATTATAAATAAGTATTTTTTTCTTAAAATAAGGTCATTTTTTTCTTGAATTGAAGAGGAAAGTGAGACACTTTGCCAACGGAACAAGATAATTAACATTTAAAGTTGCTGTTTGGATTTTTCGTTTTGGAAAGGACTTTGGACTTAAACGCTTCCAGGATTTGACTTTGGGTTGGGAGCGTATGGAACTCCTGTTTGGACATTATTATTAGAAATAAAAACAGACGGACAGTTTTGGACTTTCAGTTATTAGGGATGTTTTTGTTTGTTTTTGGCTGATATAAATTGAGACTTTGAGTGAACTTATAAATTGGTTGTGAAGGTTTTTCCGTTATTTAACATTTAAACTGAAATATTATTGAATGGAATTTTGGATTCTTGGTAATAGTGCGATTTATTATTATTATTTTTTTAAATGAATCTTTGTTTGCTAACAATTGTAATACTTTGCCTGATTTCCTGTGAAAAAAAAAACCCTTGATTATTTGTGAGTTCTGCTTTTAATCTAGCTGAATTTTACACATTTTATCCTATTATTTTATTTTAAGAGTGAAAATACTAATTCTATCAGCAGATCATCTTATTTAGCTGCTAAAATTAAGGCTAAATACAATAAATTTAAGAATTTCTTTAACTTATTTTTGGATAATTTTTTGCAGTGTAATAGAGAAGTTTGCAAATTTTCTGCCTTTAGCATATTAATCATTTAAATATCATTAAACCATAAAACCATTATGTCGAAATTAGTTTTACTATCATAATACTTGAATAATTTTTAATCTAATTTTATCAAATTTTAGATACAGAAAAATATTTTTAGAGTTAAAAATAAAAAAGAAATTCCCCCCAATGTCTTTAGAAGACAGATGAGTATGAATTGAAACGAGTCAATATAATAGGAAGACATCCACATTTGGATGATGACCTTTTTTAGCAGCTTGACATTACTTTATGTGTTTATTATTATTATAATTGAATAATGGATGTGTGGCTATATTATAAGGATGTCAATCACTAAAGATCACCCATGTGTGAAACATGAGGGAGCTCCGTAAAAATCAAAGCTCGTTGGAAACATTTACTGTGAAACTGTGGGTAAAGTTTGTGAACATAAAGAAAAATGCTTCAGTTAAAGAATAATTTTAAGATCTAATAATTCTAAAATATGACATAAAACAAACTTACACACAAAAAAACACTTTTATTTGATCAATTAAATGTCTTTTTTTTAAATGCTCTTCTTGTACGGTTACACAAATATTATCGTAATTTTAGGACAATAATGTTTGGGGGGAAAAAAAAAGAAGAAGTTATAAATGTTTTGATTAAAAATCTTTAGAAAATCTGAATTGAAATAAAAACAAAGAAGCAAAATCAGAAATCCACAGAAAAAATAAAAAGCTTTAGAAAAATCATTAACCTTTTTCAAACAAAGACTGCAAAAAAATGAAATCTTATTAAGTCATTTCTTCTTAAAATAAGTGCATTTTTTCTTCAATTAAGGATTTAAGTGAGACACTTTGCCAATGGAACAAGACAATTTACACTTAAAATAAGAAAAAACAATCGCATTGTCTTATTTCAAGTGCATTTTATCTAGATACCTTATTTTAAGGGTAAAAATACTAATTCCATGGGCAAATCACCTTATTTACCTGCTCAAATTAAGGGTTAATACCTTTAATTTAAGAAATTTTTACTTTTTTGAGATCATTTTTGCAGTGTAGTTACATTCCTTAAAATTTACCTTTTTATTGCATTTTATTGATAGGAGTAAATAATTTAATCCCAGCAGAATAATTACAGAATCTAGTCAATAAACTGCTGACATCATTGCACTGCTTCAGCACAGGAGCTCAGCTGCAGGTAAATGACTCTAAGTGGAATAAAGAAGCGGTGTAGCTGCCTACCTGTTGCAGACGCAGCTCCTGCTGCTTATTGATCAGCATGAGAGACAAATGGAAAAAAAACCACAAGAGCTCAGTCAGTAATGTGTTTTTGCTTCATGACCGATTAATGCAAACACTCTTAGCGAGGAAATCAATGCGCCGCAAACAGGAAGTCTTCAGTTAATGCAGAAGCCAGCAGCCAATCCCTGTCAGTCAGAGCCAGAAAAGATTCAAAGGTATGAAGGTAAATATGCAAAAGAAAACCAAAGGTTTCTGCAAACTCAGGCTTGCATGAGGACCCTGTTAGCCGCTGGTTTAGCTGTGACTTTAGCACATCTGTGCAGCAGATGCACAGATTCGGCCACTATGTGTTTTGGCCTCTTCTGCTCTAAAATAACCATCATTCACAGTTAGATTAAGAAAAGCTCTTTGTTGTTTTACTGCAGTGATTGTGTTGCTGTTCTTTATATGGCAGCATTAAAAGGAGCCACCATAAACACTAAAGAGCCTGAAGACAAAAACAAACAGAAACCACGTTTTTTTTAACTATAGAACTACGATAAACTGCTGATTTATTTAATCAGGTAACACTGAGACACTGACTATTACAGGTATCGACGATTTCCTGTTATTCATTTTTAATTTACATATGGCGACTTTCTAATTTATCTGCATTTCTGCAGGAGTGATATTATCGATGCATTATTGATGTACTATTATTATTCACCAAGACAAATTCAACAGCCCTGGAAAATAAAGGATAATCTTAATCTTAATCTGGGGTTCTCAATGGTTTAAACACTAGCCAATGATGTGAAGGAGAAAAAGCGTAAAAAAAAAAAGGTGAAATACAGAAAGAGAGATAGATTTCCTAAGGGTGAGAATTAGGGCCTAAAATATGGAAAAGTCCACTGACAGAAAAATTAGAAGTCTATATTTTAATTACAATATTCTAATTCAAATTTTTTTTTCTAAAGTTTTTAATCTTTGCAATCTGACTATAATCTGAGACTTCTGATTTTGATTATAAGACTCTGTATTCTAATTTTAATCTCTGCATTTTGATTTTAATGTCTGTATTTTGATTTTAATCTCTGTATTTTTATTTTAATCTCTGTATTTTGATTCTAATCTCTGCATTCTAATTATAATCTGTTTTTATGTTAATCTAAGTATTTAATTCTAATCTCTGCATTCTTATTTTAATCTTGTTTTGACTTTAATCTCTGTATTTTTATATCTAATCTCTGTATTCTAATTTTAATATCTGTATTTTTTATTTTGATCTGTTTTTGATTCTAATCTCTGTATTTTGATTCTAATCTCTGTATTTTGATTTTAATCTCTGCATTCTAATTATAATCTCTGCATTCTAATTATAATCTGTTTTT